GTTTGGTATCAAACTGTAGATTATAATTCAAATGTTATAACTATATATTACTCAATTTCTTAATTTAAAAGTATATGTTTGTGAAGTCAAAATACTAAGTCTATAGTTTCATATGAATTAGAAACTCAAATTACAGATATTGAAAAGCTAGAATATAAAATAAGAAGGTCTTATCTTTTCTATTTGCTAAGATATTGCTCAAACACAGTGGCACCCTGTCCACCTCTTTCCCTTTTTGTAAATGCTCCCTTATATACACTTACTTCTATATATGACATGAATAAGCAATTCGAAGCTCAGAATGTCCACCTAGTCACTTTCTCAGACATTTTAAATTCTTAGGATGGCATCTCTTTCTTTTGAACCAAGATTTCAATGAGGTAGGTTGTGTTTTTAGTCTGCTCAAAATTTCATATTTTTTTACACCCAAATACAGCTTAGTTACTAAGCTTGATAAATTATAGTAGAATTCTATGGTATTGATGCAGTAGTTTATGATTTTTAGTTATTTATAAGTATATATATAAAACATAAAAAAAAAATTTGTTTCATATCCTTCACGTGCAAAATTGTAAAAGGCTTAGCAACCTACGTCAAGCAGCAACTAAGTACAAAGGTCGTAACTAGAAGAGATAATTGTTTGCTTTACTTCTTTATTTATTGTTTTATGTTTTTGGAAAAATAACTTTAAGAACTTATTTTAAAATGGCAATAATCTATATACATATATAATGTATAATAATTGAAATGTGACTGTATTTTACAAAATACCAGCTGACTAAAACAAGCCAAGACAAGTTAATTTGCACAGACCAAAGGTTACCTTTATGTTATTTGATACGGTAACATGAGGGCACATGAGTCGTGTCGTTGTAACTTCTGTGATGTTAGCCAGGCACGGGTGAAAGGTCAATATAGTAAATATATATATATAAATGTATAATGTTATGAGATTTAAGCTATTTCATCTAAACATTTATGTTTTTGTGTTATAATTTGTATTCATTCTAGAATGAAAGAGGCATAATTTATGCTTATTTCCTAATTTTTTATGGTGGTTGTGAGATCAGTCAAATTTACTGAACCCATACAGAGATTAATTACTGAAAATAACAGATAAAATATAATGTCTTTGCTTAGGAAATGTTTGATAACTATCTCGAAATTATAAAGATTTCGCCTGTGAAATTTGAAAATGTTCTGATGCATAAAAGAATTTTTAATCTTAAAATTAATACTACTTTGCATGATAGATAGGCAACATGCGAAAAGAAAAAATAGACATGAGAGAAACATTACTTTAAAAACCTTAAGTCTTGATAAAAAAAACATTATTAGATATTTTGTGTATGAAAGCATTGTAATGTTTACTGATAAACTGCCAAATTTAGTTAACATTCGCTTACTAATTTAAAAGTTATAGCATGAAAACTATAACAAGCACACAATGGTTATGAGATCAGTCCCAGGGACCGAGCTCAGGTTGAAAGAGTTAAAGTATGGCCACCACCAGCATCTCAGTAGTACTGGGCTCTGCACCATAATGTTACTCCGCATGTTTTTGCATGTTTCCTTACCAATTTCTTAGTTCTTACACTATGGTATTTATTGTTTAGCTATCTATTTTGCTAGCACCAGCATAGGAAATACCGTGGACAATGAAACTTTTTTTTTCTGCTTTTTAGTTAGTATATTTAGAATTTTTGAATAGCCACAGTAAATAAGAGGCATGAATGTCAAATGTTTGCAATCATAATAAATATTTCTTGGTACAAAATTGGCATTCAGTATTATTAATTTATCATTTAAAATTTCAATAAGATAATAGCTTACTATTTTATTTAGTGTCCCTGTTATTACTATTAACAAGAAATTATCTTTGGATTTTATTTTTTTAATTATTTCTAGAAGGTTCATAACATGGGACAGACATATTTTTGCAATAAAATATTACGAATCTTCAATGAAATAGACAATAAAATATTTGTGAAATCAAAATAATGATCTATATATTAAAAATATAGAATATGACATTTTAAATCAACAAAAAATTGCAAGATGCAATGGTTTTTAGGTTAGTTTTAAAACCTGTGCTGTTGAAAATTACTTACTATTACATGACTGGCAGGGCTATGAGTTTGACCAATACAGTAAGTTGTTTGCCACACATTTTTTTCCTGCAGATGAAAACAGTTACAGTGTTTTAAGCCCTTTAGTGCTATTCATTTGAATCCTTTCAAACATTTGAGAAGGCCTATACTAAAACTGGTTTTAATAGTATTTTTTTATGGATAACCTTGATGAACTTTGTTATTTTTCTTTATCTTATCTCTAAACTCTACTATAAAGTTACTTATGTTTTAAACATTTATAGTTTAAAATACAAAATTACCATGAAAGATATCTGTAAATCTTACCCAGATATCTGATTCATTACTGCCAGAATCCTTTGTAGAGTTTTGAAGTTCTTCAAATGATACAGTACAATTGGCAACAAAATCATCAGGAGGGATTGCTGCATCATGAAAAACTGTTAAACCAAAATTCAACCCACTATGAACTTCTATTGTGAAATATTCATTCCATATAGGATTATCAGTTTTTTGCTTAGTAGTTGAACAATCCACTCGCACTTCATCAACATCAATTGAAACATATGGATCAATTTGCATTAGCTGTGGTCTCCCTACCACATTGGCATGTCTTTTGGCATACTCAGTTGGCTTTAACTCCACTGCTTCACATAATTTTAGCTTCATTGTTCCTGTAAAACATCCAGATGAAGTTGATTCTGAAGCATTTAACCCAGCTGCAGTGTTTCCCAGGGCCAAGTGACTCATTCTTACATTAGCAATGTTTTTACCTTCTGAAGTTGTGTAAAACCAAGTTTTCTTCCAAAATATCTAACAAAATTTTCTGTGTGGGAAAAAGATAAAAGGTTAACTGCTTACTAGCACAATAAGTCTAATATTTTCATAAAGATTTCAAAATTTAAGATACTTTAGTTTTCAAAAGACACCATACTAACCATCATAAACCTTATCTTTACTAAATCTTAAAGATTCATCAGTATCATTCATTATTATAGAAAACAATATAATGGCCCTTTAAAAACATCATAATACTCATAATTAGGCACTTATTTATTAACGAAAGAATGAGTGAAGACTAAATTATTGTAATGCATGTTGATTTTCATAATTTACTTTGTTGTTTTGGTGGGCTGAAGGACCACAATATCAGTCACTGTGAAAATTTTTATATTCTTATGTTAATATTTTTAAAACTTTTACTGCAAATTACATAGTCATGTAGGCAACTATGTTTCTTCATCTTAATACTAACATTTTCCAACACTGAAAATATATTTTTGATAGATACTTACCTCTACTCACTCGCCACTAGTCTTTAGGCTCTCACCTAAACTCAAGTGTTTCCATGTGGTGTGGCTGCACTGTAGCATGCAAATGAGCATACAACTCTCCACCAATATAAGTACAAAACACTCTCCTAGTGCAGCTGACTTCATCTATACTGATTGTTCAGTCATCACTTCAAGATCAGGCAAGAAAAGATGCACCAGATGGGGAGGAGGCCAGGTGAGAAATGTGAGAAGAGGTAAGTATCTTTGGAAAATACATTTTAACTGTTAGAAAATGTTAACTTCCGATACAATACTTTACCTCCTCTCACATATTAGCTGGAATCACACACTGAAGTAGTGGTGGGACCAGTACAAAAGTTACCTAGCTAAGCCCCCTTCAGAAAGCACCCAAAGAGAATCCATGGAGCATGACACCCTATACCATGAAAGTATAAAGGCACACGTGTGGAGAACACACCCCTTCTATACTACAAAATGCTCTTCACCTATAGTAAAGATATGTGTTGCCAAGTCTGGCAGTAAGAAGCATGTCCAGAAACACAGTATAGAAAATGGGTGTACTTAGTGGCGTAAAGTGGCTAGGGCACATCAGACTGTACATGGCATGTCAACTCCAGTCCAAAACCAGGTGGCATCAGGAATTTTTCATCACAAGAAGATGAGGATCCCAACCATCTTCATCTCCATACCAGGAAGCTGAAAGAAAAAGGAACTTCTGTTCTACCATCCTAGGTATTGCTTATGCATGCTGACCCATTACACATCCAACACCTGGGAACCTGTCATCCAAGCAACAATAGGATGGGAGAAGCAAATTTGGTGGGTTAATTCCAATCTAAAGCCACCTGGGAACTGACTTCCAGGCAGCAGTAGGATGGGGGAAAGCCAGTGGAAGGGGTGAACTGTATTTGGTGGATCTTCTCTACTCCAAAACCAGGCAGCATTGGTACTTTTTTTTGTCTGTTCTGTAGTATGAGGAGGGTTCACACCACTACCCTACTCTAAACTGAGTCGAATTAGTCTCACTTAGGAGGAAGCCTTCATGATCCACCACCCTATCAGCTAAGAACTGGTGAGTGGCAATGACTCCTGTGCTCCACTAGAAGAAGATGTGGTAAAAGTGGGCTGGGGAGTCTGGAGGGATGCAACACCTTAAGACTATGCAATAGGTGACCACAAAGCCCTATTTTTAAAAGCAGGCCAGTCTAGGTTCAGTCAAACAGGACTGGAGGGATGGGCAGCAATCCTGACACTGCTTTACACATGCTAGTCCATGAGTAGGTACTTTTAGATTGGGCTTTTTTTAGTAAAAAAGATACCTCGAGGAAACCTCTAGCAGTATTGTGGAACACCCCATCTCATCAGTGAGTGTTTCAGACCTGAATAGCTGCTTGGTGGGGATTTAACCTAAATTACCCTGGCAGGCACCACATGCTACTCAGCAGGATCCTGAAAGGTAGAATAGAGCCCCTGTAAAGTTAAGATAGGTGGAAAAATAACTTATCCAGTCAAGAGTTAGTAAGGGGTATGAAGAATGGTGACAGGAGGCAATCGATATCTCAACAAAGAAGAGACAGCCAGATGGTAAAGTTAATGCACAATGAAAGTATGTTGGATAGTCCACATGCCAGCCTGCACAATCTCCTCCAATGGACAATGGAATTGAGCAGCCAGAGAGAGAGAGAAAAATATGTCAAATTTGGTGGAAGGAAGCCGGGAAAAGATCATAAGAATCCCCATCCAAAGAAATATTTGCTAGACATATGAGCTGTCTCATGCATCTTGTGAGTGTAATGTGAGAAAGATTTTTGGAAGAAGAGGAGTTCCAAGAGATAAAGAGGTGAGTAGGACCAATATATGGATGGAAAAGAGGTAGAGGTGAAAGTGCTGTCTACCTCACATGCAACAGACATTTTGGGTAGAAAGGCATGGTCTGAATAAAGGAGAACAATGGAAAAGAATATGGGAGGCATCTATGGCATACATATCCGACCATCGATAGCGCAAGCAAAAAGAAGTAAGAAATACATCTTAACTCTCGCAATACAGGCTCGATCAATTTGACTGACCAAGTAACCTCTTTGTACTTGTTTGAAGTCTTTCCGTTAATATTACATTACCATTTTAGTGGAGTATTTTTAATAAACTAAAATAAAGATGTGTCCATGAATATATTGAGTATTTGTTTGGAATAGTCAGTGTGCAAAGTAATTTTAATGTTAAAATTATTTTTACTCATCTCAAATGTCCTTTGTGTAATCCCTAAAACCTCCTAAGTGTTTTTTCAGTAAAACTTTATAGTTTAGCTGTTATTTTCTCCATTGTATCTCAAAACTGGGATTGGTCAATTCAACCTACCTTGTAACAACCAAAAAAAAATAAATAAAAACTGAAATAAACCTAAATTAACCATTTTTCTTTCTAGAATGACT